ACTTCCATGACTTTGTCCTTCATTAATTTGTCTTTTGTTGTCATTAAGTTTTAATAAGTTTAATCTTTTGACAAATATTGTTAGCTTTTTCCACTTTTTAAAAAAAAAATACTAAAATAATTTATATACTTAATATGTCCTCATAAATGTCCTCATAAAAAGGATATAAGTATATTAAAAGAATAAATAAAAAATAAAAAAAAAGGTAATAAAAAGAAAGTCATGACAAACATTATAAGTGAACTTCAAGAAAGTAATAAAAAACTGATAGAAGAAAATGAAAATTTAAAGAAGCCATTAGCAGATAAAGAAGAAAATCTTAAACTAAAAATCTGACATGTTACTGGTCAGTCTCTTGATGTCAAGGGTGAAGTTAGTCTTTATGCTCCTAGGGGAACATGATGATACAAGAAGTTAAATAAGAAATGAATGGATGAAGGTAAGTTGAGAATGGCTGTGGATCCTAATGAAACCAGAGAATCAGCTAAAAACTGTAAAAGAATTTGATTTGATAACATTACCATCAAAGAGATGTTAGAAGGGCTTATTGATTATTCAAATGACTTAGTTTCAGAATATGCACGAAGTTGGTCAAAAATCAGTGATTTAAATTCCCAAAAGTTTGAACAAAAGCAGGAATATGAAGAAAAGTTAAAAGAAAATGAGGAACAGATTAAAGAATTAGAAAAAGCATTAGAATTAGAGGAGGAAACATCTGAATGCCATTTAGATGCTCTTGAATTGGCTAGACAGTGGAGAATAAGGCAAAACAGAAAAAGATGACAACTTAGAAAAAGCTTCTAGGCGAATAGAGTTGTTGGAAAAAATTGTGGCATGACAGAAATATTTGGCAGACAAGCAGCTTCAAGAACTACCAGTTTTACCAAAGAAAGAAAACAATATAAACTCCTAACTAACAAATTAAAGAACAAAGTTAGCCAAGTAAAAGAAAAAATTTGAAACCTATATCTTGCAAAAGAATAAATACAGTCAATCCTCCATAAGTGCACCCTATGCCTCATTCCCAATCTCGGGGCTTAAGAGATAAATGCATCTCTCCATAAATGCACTGCACGGTCTTTTTCCAATTCCATCATATAAAACCACCCTCTCTAAATGCACGCCCGTGACTTTCACGTGATCAACGTGCAACAAGAAACAAAATTATCGTGTTACATTAATTAATTATTTTTCATTTACACACCTTTAGTAATTAATTTATTTATAAAGAATTAAAATTAATGTTTACTAATTATTTCTTTTTAATCACAAAGAGTTATTATGCAGATAGTGAAACTTATAAGCAAAATCATTAAGAATCACACAGAGGATAAAAAGTTAGTTATATGCTTTTTTTTTAATAAAGAGTCAATTAAATTATTGTTAATCATAAAGAGTAAAATGAATGTGTATTAATTCTTTCTTTCTTATTTGACAAAGGGTTATCAGATAGTGAAACTTATAAGCAAAATTGTTAAGAATTAAACAGCAGACAAAAATTTTTTTTTAATAAAAAATTAAATGAATGTGTATTAATTCTTTCTTTTTTAATTGACAAAGAATAATAACTTTTATAGGCGAAATTATTGTATATAAGAAGGCAAGACAAGAATGAAAAGTTTTAAAAACAAATCCATTTACACTTATCATTAGCTTTAATAAATAAAAATCTTCTACCATTATTTATTATTTATTATTTAATTTGCAAATAACTATATTATCCAGACCCATTTTAATACTGCTTACTTCTACCCACTAAAAATTTTTCTCTTTTTTCACACTTTTAAAATGCCACCAAAAGTAAAATAACTTTATCAGAATCCAAAAGTATGAAATTTGCTTATATACTCAAAACAATACAAAGACCAGAAAAGAATATGTCAATTGGATTGAACAAAAATGGAATGTTAGGGTGAATGAACCAACTATAACAAGAATTCTGCAAAAAAGTGAAAAAATACTTAACACAGAAATAACCAATCCAAATGCTAAAAGACATAAATCTGTAGTAGTTCCTGAACTTGAACTTGTCCTTAAGGAGTTTATTTTAATCTATCAAGACAAAGCTATTTTAAGTGAAGCTATGTTAATTGAGAAAGCCAAGCAATTGGCAGATGGCTTGGAAGTTCCAGATGGAACATTGGAATTTACAGCTGGATGGCTTCAAAAATTTAAAAAACGTAATGGAATCCGTCAACAAAAGCTTCATGGAGAAGTATCATCAGCTAATCTGGAAGCCATAAATGATGCCTTACCATTATTAAAAAGCATATGTGAAAATTATCCACTTGAAAGAATATACAATATGGATGAAACAGGTCTTTTTTACAGATTAGAGCCAGATAGAACATTAGCCACACACAGACTTTTTGGTCACAAAAAGAATAAAGAAAGACTTAGTTTTGCTTTGTGTGCAAATACTGATGGATCTCATAAATTAGATCCCTTAATAATTGGAAAATCTGCAAAACCATGATGCTTTACTAATGTCAACCTTGATAACTTAGCAATGACATATTGTAATAATACAAAGGCTTGGATGTTGATAACTGTTTTTCAAGATTGGCTCCAAGGATTCAATAGAGAGGTTGCTCAAAAATATGGAGATCAATGGGTATTATTGCTTCTTGACAATTCCCATGTCATAAGACAAATGGTTTGGTACTTTCAAATGTTGATGTTCATTTTCTCCCCCCAAATACCACTTCAAAGATCCAACCGATGGAAGCTGGGATTATTATGTCATTCAAAAAACATTATTGTAACTTGCACATTAAATGGATCCTAGATCAAGTTCAAGGAGGAAAAGATATAAAAGATTTAAAAATGGATGTATTGCAGGCAATATGTTATATTATTAAGAGTTGGGAAGAAATAACACCTGAAACCATTCATAACTGTTGGAAACATACTAAAATTCTTCCAGATACCATTAATGCCGAATTAACTAACCTTAACAACATTAGATGAGCTTACTCAGGTGCTTACAACTCTTAACTTATCTGATATAATGCCAATTGAAGAGTTTTTAAATAATCCAGAAGAAGAAAAAATATATGAAGTTCTTGATGATGATAAACTTATTGAAGGATTTGTTGAAGTATATAAAAAACAACCAGAAGTGCCTATTGACAATAATGAAGATGATGATAGCATTGAACCAGTAATAATAAGTGCTAATGAAGCTTCCAAAAGTTTGGAAATTGTCTATGTCTTTTTACTACAACAAGGAAATACTAAAGAACAATTAAAACAAGTTAATGCTCTTGATCGGTATACTAATTTAAAAAAAATAAATTCAATGAAATGAACTATGATGGATCAATGTTTATAATTTTTTATAATATATATATATATATATAATAATAAAATTTTTTTAAACAATATCCCGCATGTCACGTGCAGCCAATAAGATTCTTACCCTTCCTAAATGCATCCCTCCATAAATGCACGGTCTCGTCTATTCCCAAGGGGGGTTGCACTTATGGAGGGTTGACTGTGTATATGGGTAAATTCAAAAATTTAAGGTAACCTATATCTAGAGTCCTATAATAATTTATAATATAAAATGCATTACATAATATTGTGAATATTGTTAATTAGTAGAATACGATATAGTCTGTCATATACAAAAAGAGGATTAAACAACAAAGATAAATTATTTTTTATTTTGATTCAACTAATACATAATTTTGATGACTAAATAGTTTACTTTATTTTAATTTCACTGGCTCTGTTGCATCATTGATTTTTTGGTTTATATTATAAAGCTGTTTCTTGTTTATAACGAAACAAGGAAAAGACCAGACAACGATCCATAAAAAATTTTGTTTGTGAAAGCAAGCATCTTGTTAAATTATTATTGTAAAGATATTTGCAACTTGATTTTTTTTTTATGCGAAAAGGAATGAATTGGTGATAAACTCTTGCTCAAACTCAGAATTTGTTTACATTGCTTCTAATGCAAATAAAGTATGGAAGTAAGATTTATTTGTTTCAAACAAAAAAATACTGATATAGTCTGTCATATACAAAAAGAGGATTAAACAACAAAGATAAATTATTTTTTATTTTGATTCAACTAATACATAATTTTGATGACTAAATAGTTTACTTTATTTTAATTTCACTGGCTCTGTTGCATCATTGATTTTTTGGTTTATATTATAAAGCTGTTTCTTGTTTATAACGAAACAAGGAAAAGACCAGACAACGATCCATAAAAAATTTTGTTTGTGAAAGCAAGCATCTTGTTAAATTATTATTGTAAAGATATTTGCAACTTGATTTTTTTTTTATGCGAAAAGGAATGAATTGGTGATAAACTCTTGCTCAAACTCAGAATTTGTTTACATTGCTTCTAATGCAAATAAAGTATGGAAGTAAGATTTATTTGTTTCAAACAAAAAAATACTAGAAACTTGAATGTGTAATACTTATGAAGTCTATTCAAGGATTTGTGTAAATAATCAATTAATACCATATGGATATAATTAAAAAAAATCAAAATAAGGGAGACCATGAGAGCTTAATTAAAAGAGATAATAAATACCGGCAATTTACTTGGGTGGAATCACTAGTCTGAAAAAAATAACCAATATATTTTAAATGAGAACAAGGAAAATAATATTGAAAACGAAAATATTATTAAAATCAAGTTAAGAGAATTAGAAAAACAAAAAAACTGAAAACAATTAAACAATCAAGAGAAGAAAGCAAAATGAAAGTTAAAGCTCAGGAAATCCAAATTCAACATATCGACTTAAGCCTGAATAACTAAAGTGAAATATTTATATTTTTGGACTGATCACTAATCACATTATTAGGACCACTATAACTGGATACTGGAATTTATCTTAATGTTTACTTCCTCATATATACATGCAAAGGTTTTTTATTTTATTTCGATATATTTGTTAATAATATTTATAAATAGATATAATATTGCGCAATAATATTATAATAGCCCAACAAAGAATTAATCAACTCTTTATTTTTTCTTATTTCAAATGAAGTTCAATGCCAATTTTTTTTTCATAATTAGCTTCCCATTTAGCAACTCTCCAATCTTCTTCATCTCTAATAGCAATCATTTCACCGACACCATTCTTGTATGAGATTTGATCATAATTAGGCTTTATTTCAAATCTATTTTCTATATTTTGCAATAAAGAATTGAGTGTAATGTCTTGTGGAACAATTACAAAACCATGTTCTACAAATGCTATCCAAGTGACTAAGATCTAAACATATATATTTACAAGTATTATTATTATTATTATTATTTGGAGATGTTTAATAAAAACGCAAAAAACATTTTATTCATTTCAAAAAATTAAAAATTATATATACCTTATTCTTGTTATTATTAGTTTTATCTGATTTCAATTTTTGTTGTGTAAAATATTTAAAGAATGCAGATTCTATCTTTGTCAATGAATTAAGATGAGTGGCAGATGTTGGTATGAACAACAATGAAGTTGCACCATCCATTAAACCATTGGTTGGATCTGCTTTAATCTCAACATTATTGTGAAAACACTGGTGTAAGTAAAGTTGATGTTGTTAAATAAAAGTAATGTCAATGATGAAGGTTAATGTGAATGTGTTGATAACAGTGAAAATTGTGATAATGATAATAAAAATATATAGAACATATTAATACATTATATAGACATAATATTTTAATGAATTAATGGATGGAATACATACTGTTCTTTTGAAATTATGAAGAAGTTGAAATTCCATTTCTTTAAATTCTGCCATTCTGAATCCAATGATCTCAAAAAAAAAAAAAATTAGATTTAATTATTTGTTGAATTTCCACAAACGTCATCCATTACCTCGTCCAATTGAATAGATATTTTATTTTGCATGTCATTCAATAATATACAAAAATCACGATTTCTAAATATTAATGCAAGTTTTATATCTGTATATCTACCAAGATGTCCACCATTAGGTCTAATTTCTATTTTTCTCAAATTTATTGTAACGTCATTATTGATTGTCTTTAAATTATTTGTAATGGATGAATTCAATGTTCTAATTGCTGCTGATGATAAAGTTGGTTGTGATGATGGAGCAATTCCTTCTAAATTTAATTATTATACTATACGTTTAGTAAATTATTATTATTATTATTACTATCATCATCGTTACTCTTGCCGTGATATCTCTTCTGCTCAAAAAAATATTACTAACCTGATTTTACACCCCTTCCATTTTTTTTAATTTCATCCATTTTCAGAAAAATATAATTACAGATCACAGTTATACATATCTTTTTTATGTCCCTTTTTGTTTTTAGATTTTTCGTGGGATATAACCGAGGTGGGATATATAATTGAGGAAATCAAGATTTTCAGTTCCTAGAGATATGCCGTGCCCATAACTGCCTAGATTCTTCCTACACTAGTGATCTCCCTTTTGGGTGAGTGTTTAAAATCAACTTGCTTTTTGCAAAAAACTATAAAAAGAACCAATCGAGAGAAGTTAAAAAAATTGCAAATGTATATTTACTACAATATGAGATCAGATTCCAAAGAACATTGGTTTGGGGAATTGAACCCGACGTTCCACATTGATGTAAATTCCACACCCCGGTTAAATGAATTAGTGAATTGCATTCACACACATCATTTAAAGTAAAAAAATTGCACTAATAAGATTTGGAATATATTAACAAAGTCATGTAAATGTAAATATTGCAATTATAAACTAGTCCAAGGTATGAAAGTCATTGGAGAAATGTCGTTTTGGTATCAATTCTCAATAAGTACAATATAGTCTTTATCAAATAATAATAACTCATCATCATTGATCTGAAGAAAATATTTTGAAAATGCATTGCGCATTCATATTTCAAATTTCCCATCTCTACGTGTGATCTTTTTTTCTTTTATTTATTACATGAAACATCCCAAAATCATATTTTGTAATAAATTATTCATTAGCATGTACAAATGGAGTGGTTCAATACGGCAATGATTATCTTTTATTATGGAAACTTTTGTCTTCCTTCAATAGCTTAAATTCACGAAAGCGACCCATTAAAAATCCCTTGAATTTTCACAACACCAGAATTAGAGGCTGTAAAAGAAATGATAAAACTTTTGAATACCATCAACTTTTTAAAATAAACCAAACTTGGTTTGATATCAAAAATATTTTCCTCTTCATAACATTGAGTTTTATTCAAACCTGCAGTGCCAAATCTTTTAGAACATCTGCAACATGATCCATACAATCTACACTTGTTTTTCTATAGAGTTTTTTGATCAATCCAAGGCTACCATCACATTTGAATTTGATATGTCCCGGAATCATGAAATTTGTTCAAGACTTTCATAATAATTACAAATTACTAAATTCGAATAGCTATATTTTTTTATTTCTGTTCATTAGCATTATCTTTAAATGTCTTTCAATTTCTTAATCCATCAAAGACCATACTAAATCTACTATCAGGACCTTTTTCTAACAAATTTCATCTTCAAACAAGAACATAGTAATTTGTTTTCTTACATGTATTCCAAATAAATGTACTTTGCGAGGACTAAGGTAATACACTTTACTAACCTATTTATCAGAGTGTAGTAAGGTTAACACTACAATGCTATGCCTAAAGTTCCGAACCATGATTCGAATTTTAATATTAATAACAAAATCGTGCCAGGTTCAAGCAACATCTTTTATCCGAGTTTGAAATACGTATTAGTATATTGATATGCAAGTTTTTTTACCTGTAGAGCAATTTTACTTAACACGCAAATCGCATTTACTTGATAGTTTTGTGTAATTCAAGGCCAAATTTTTACAAGTGTAAAAACGCTCTTTTTCAAAAACATCAAAATCAAATAATTGAGTTATTTTTGACCCGTAGAGTGGTCTTTTACGCAAACTGTTAGACCAGTGGTATTCATGTAACACAGAAATGACTTATTTGTTCCAAATTATGTTTAATACTATGGTGCAAGTCACTTAGTCGCTGAACTTTTTATTGGCTGTGTAGATCCTATATCCTCTCCAAAAATGGAAATG